CTCTCTCTCTCTCGCTCTCTCTCTCTCTCTCTCTCTCTCTCTCTCTCTCTCTCTGGCTCGCTCGCTCTCTTTCTTTTTCCTGAGGATTCTATCTGTTCAATTAGATTTAATTTCTGTTTACAAGTTCAATTCAATCATTGCCATAGATGGAGTAGCACTTGCAATGTCAACCATCCAAGTTTATGAAGAGCAATTAAGGCAGAGTCCTTGGCGAAACACTTCCAGTGAGGTCTATTGCAATTCATCGAATCTGAGCGCATGCTAAGCAAGTGGCAGAGGCAAGTCGCTTACAATTCCAATGCGTCTATTTATAGTTACTTGTTTATATATTTAGCTTCTAATCAATGAGCCGCGTGGGCTGATAAGATTGCGGAATGCCCACAAATTCGCTGCGATTGCTTGTGGGGTAAACGCACAGATATCGAGCTACTGCTTAAAGCATACTCCTAACTTACATAACTGTCCACAAATATTCCGGTTTTTTGCGCTCTCATCAGGTTGTTTTAATTAATCGTTTTTAAATCTAGTAATTTGCATGCAACTTAAATGTCCATTCATCATGGCCATAATTCATTTGCTCTATTTACACTGAACCTGGCCCGGCTTTGCCGCGGCTAAATTTATATTATTTATCAACTTTTAATACATGGATAACTTTATTTAAATATAGACAGACTGCCGGCTGCCCTGATAACAGGCCAAAAATGTGCACAAGTGTATTTTTAAAGCCTTCGCCAAATTTAAAGACAAATAATCGCCACGCAAGCCAAACGTTCCCAGAGCACAGCAATATCCGCCGACTGCTAAAATGACAGCTGTGGATTATCTACGACCAACCAAATCTTCGTATTGATTTGGTTCGCTCCGATTAAGTTTCAATATTGAAACTACAATATATTAATGTTTTAGTTGAACTGCTTTTAGCAACTGCTTATTATTTTCAAAGATTTTCGTTTGATATAAATCCTTTTTATTATATAAATATCTTAATTTAAATATCTATGTATACGAGATACATTGAATATATACATATATATGTTGTGGGGGTGCTAACTAATTAATCATTATTCAATTTTAAATTAAAATTATTTCGCAGTGCCCAATTATGAACTCTTCTTGGTTTTCTGTTTCTCATTGTCTTTTATGGAAATTGCTTTTCCTTAAACAGAGTGCTTTGTCATACTCTACAGTGCTGGACTCCAATAACAAGTCGCCTTTTCATTTTTGGTCGTAAGCATGGCACTCATGCAACCCGGAACTATTCCATATAGCTTCTTTTTCTATCTCACTCTTTCTTTTTCTCTCCCTTTCTCTTGCTTACTTATCCCATATATAGAGATTCCTCTATTTATCTTTCCCTTTCAGCCATGGCTATAGTGAATATGAAACACAAATTTTGGTTCCCTTTCTTTGTGAACATGTCTCTGCTTTAACATAAATTCGTTAGTTTGCGCATTCAGGAACTATTAAAGCACGCAGTGTCCATAAGAGAACAGAATGACGTTTTTAAAGCCTAATGAAAAACTTTAATAGATTTTGTGAGCGGGCACAGCGCGGACAGCGCTGCAATTAATTAAATGGCTTAAAGCGCTTTAATGAAGTGTACGCTCATTTATGGCCTTTAGCAGATGAAAAAACTGTCACTGATGCCAATTTACAGCTATGTAATTGCTCACACGCTCAATAATTTAATATATTTCAACTGAAATTTCTATTGACACAAATTGAATAAGTTGTCTTCGGGCTCAAGTCGAAGTTTGCTAAACTTTGCCTGCGGCAATTCGAAGACAACTCAAGTTTAGTCTGGGTAAAACTTTGTTTTCAATTATATGCTAAGATATATAGGAGTGAGCACATACATATACTTTCCTATTTTCCTTTTTTAAATTTATTGTTCTCTTTTTTATTTTACAATTTCGGGCTATCGATTGTCATGTGTGCTATTTAAGGTACGTGCTTCTGCAATGGGGACTAGTTTACTCTGGCTCGGACATCTTAAGAGTGTTTGTGGCAAAGTGAAACCAATCAATTTTGAACGTGCTAAAGTTCTGACGTTACTGAGCTGAGAAATGTGTGAAAATATGTTTGCTCAAATCTTAAAGGTGGCAAAAATTCAATGTTCATGTTTCCTGTGAAATCTACTTAAGGGATGTGAAACGTGTAGAGCTGTGCAATTTAAATAGCTATTGCTCAAAAGCAAATCACAGTTTCTGTATCAAATCCCTATAGACAAAAACACCTGAATTCACTTAGAGCTCTACATTTCTTAAATTTCAGTTGTTAAATTTAACATTTGTATATACATATATGAGAAGCAGATAATGTTGTGAAATGATAAAATCAGCTTGGAGTTAGCTGCTAAGAGCTACTGTAGCTTAGCAGAGAAGCCAAAACATAACTGAATGAAGAAGGTGGGCAATAAAAAATTAAATAAAATACAAAAAAGCAAAAAAAAACTAAAACTATACCAAAGAGGATTTTTAAAATGAAAGGAGCTTTTTAAAATAGTCAATTTGTATAACAAAGACAATATATAAAATATATAAGAAATTTACAACCCGAATTCCAGAACTTTACATTAAGAAAACTATCATTTAGAGACCGAAACAAATATATTTTCATATCAGAGAGGATTTTTAACAGAATTCTTAAATCACAAATAAATTCAATTTGAAGCGAAATAAAAACTTTCAAGCAGACATACCCCATTAACTGCTCCATTGAATACAAGAGCAGACATCGATGACATCGTTGACTAAATCGATTGTCGTGTTAAGTGTGTGATATGATTTTTGCCATATGCAGGGAAAGAGTTAAATGGCTTTGCCAGCGAGCAAATTCATATGCAAATACAAGACATGTGCATAGAATTAGAGCTGAGGTTTTTGAGGTCTGTCCATATGCTGTACTTGTGTAGAGTTCATAGAGGACAGACACAAGGATGTCTTTTGTTTATGTGGGGGTCTCTGTGGTCAAATAGTATTATTTGTATTGACATTGCGGTAAGCCCAACAGCTCAGCTTTAATGGCTAACGATATCATATGGATATACATCTACAGATATTAGGAAAGTTTCGCTTTAACGTGCAGGAAATGTCATCAAGTCAGGGCATAATGTAATGTGGTTGAAGGCAATAGCAAATCTTCTTTCTGCTCAGCTGTCTGTGCGGGTCTGCATGCATGCATAACAATGCTGAATAACATTACGTATACGCACTGTGTATGTGTGTGCGTGTGTGTGTATGTGACAGCTAAAGTACTGGGAGAAAGAAATGCAGCATACTTCACTGGGACGTCGGAGAGCTCAACGCGTTCAAAACAAAGTTATATAATTGAAGCGAAGCGTGTGAAGCCAACAAAAGAAAAACGTCATTCCCCAGGCAGAGACAAATTGTGTATAGAAAAACAACTAAATTTCAACGAAATTAAGTGCCAGCTGTTAATAAGGGAGAGAGCACAAGACTAAGCATACAATTAATGTCTGTTTGTCAGTTCTCTTTGCTCAGCAGCGTAATTAATAAAGCCTGATCTGCAGAGACAAAAGCAAAACGGTTGGTTTTAAATAATTATAATTGTTCTCTATTATATTGAAATTCATTTCAGCTAAAGTGAAACGCTGCAGTTAAATGCTTATTGAATTTGAATAATAAATTATTAAATCGAATCAATTTAATTACATGAATAAATATGTATATTGAAAATTTAACAGAAACTGTATAGTAAACTTGTGTAAAATTAAAAATAAATAAAATTAATTATTAATTATTATTATTGATTAATTAATAATTAATAATTAATTATTAATAATTTTTAATTATTTATAATGGATTTATATTATTTATAAGTAAAAAAAAATTAGATATTTTTCCAAATTTAATATAGCTAGAAAAAAATTTATGCTTTAAGTAACTATTATTTTATACAATTTCATATAATTTACAGTCAAATAAAAGGATAATTTATATTTAAATTTTGTCTTATCATCAAATTTATTCAGGCATTCATATAAATCGATCAGAACATGATACAAATGTGTATATTATGAAAAAAATGTGTATATTTAAAATTAATAGAATGTAAAAAACTCAAAAATAACTACAAATACACAAATTAGAATGTTGAATTTTAAAAAGAATGTAAAATTGACATATTTTAAAAATATTCAAAATGTAACATACTTTCAAATTTTAAAATTCTGTTGAATTCAATTATAATGTATATAAAAATTATGGTAATCAATATACAAATATTTACACAATTAATATTTGCGATAATTTCACTAAAAATATTTATTTTCATTCTTCAGGGAAATTAATTCATATGACAGAGAATATTAATATAATCATCACTGAAATAATGGTAAATTTAATGGAATGTTCTGAAGAACGCAATGCCCGCACTCAAAATCAGACGTATGGCAAATCGTATATGACTATGATTTGTACATAACTTTCAAGTATTTAGTTAATTTTCTGCATATTTAAAGTTCAGTATCTAACTTCTTATTCAGTATAAAAAAGCTAATTTGCATTTATAGGATTCCACTCTGAAACTGTTGCTGATTAAAAATAACTTCAATGCATATTGAAATATTTATTGGATGACCACAGATAACAGCTTTCATCTACATATTTTAAGGGTGTTCAACTTGTCAAGCAGCATCCAATAATGGACGACACTGGACTCGCTGTGCAATGTGAAGATGCTTTAGATGTTCGAGATGCATTAAAGGTTCGCTGAAGCACAATCAAAGTGTGCACACTTAGAGCGTATTCTGTGGGGGTATTGGAAATATGCGTATTATGGTAAGTGAGGGCGGGCTGCATAGATGCATTCCCAAAGGCCAAACGGATTGCGCAACATCGAAGTTAGAAACTGAAATATATCTGCCTTTAATTCAGCCAATTCAGTCAAATAACTTTGGCCATTAATCAGGAGAGGGAGTGAAGGCCGTCGTTAGTTTTAAAGTCAGTCCAACTTGACCGAAGTATTTGTATTTATTCTCTAATGGGAATCCTTTGAACGTTTTATGGCACACCTGCCAATAAAGTCTTTTTAAGAGAGCTTACCTGGTCATTTAACGCGTGCGGGGTGTGGGTGGCCTGCTGTGCTGGATTTCTTTGATATTTTATTTATTTCTGCTTGTTCTTGCTTTGCTTTGATTGGAATGCCAGCGCACTTGACTATGACACTTTTTTTTACTGATAGCAATTCTATTTACTGCTCAGGCATTCATGCTTTTATAACTACACGCAATTAGCTTCTTTTTTGATGATTGAATCAGTGGTGCTATAAATATCTTACTAGGCCTACTCAAGAGGGTGTGAGGAACACGAATATTATACACTGATATGCCCGCACTCTCACACTAGACTCCAATTACACTCACAATCGCGCGTTTTCGTAATTGCTGACAACTTCGATGTTTCACCGTTCGCAGCGTATTTTAACCCGAAACGCGCGCTTTCCGCTTAACAGTTATTTTTCGACTATTATTGGACAAATATTGTAAAGCTTGCCCTCGGTTTTTGCACAACTCACCAATGCGAGGGCAACTCAACAACGAGCTCTGTTAGTGATAAGAAAGCGCCCAGATAACATGCGCCAGCCGGTGGCTGTTCCCGCTATGGCTGTTATTTGGCATGACCATTTAACAGTGCCGATGTTAGCACGCTGTTAATTAACCTGTTATCTATCTAACTGGCCTAGTGCTGATAGGGTAAATGATAATACGAATAATAAGAAACGCCTCCAAATTGGCATGTTGATTTTTTTACAGCAGCTAATCGGGCTCATGTGTAGAATTTTTTGATTTTGGTATCCTGTAGTCAAACAAATATACATTATATTCGATGTATTTACATTAAATTAATTTTTAAAATATTATTATACTAAAATTTCAAATAAACTTTTTTATTTGTTATATTTTTAAATATTTAAAAAACACAGACCGATTCAAGTGTATAATTTACCTTAAAGAAAACTGACTCCACGTCGTATGCGCAATTAAGATATTTTAACATTGCCCATACCCCATGCATGGGTCGTCAAGATGCAGGTGCTGCTGCCATTTAACGCGCCTGCAATTAATATACTTTTAACGCCCATCTGCGGTACTCTTCCTAAAATTATGCAATTCCAGCTGAGTGACGTTTAAATTGCATTGAGTCTATTCTTTTGCGGCTGGTTGTTGCGAGCCCTGAGCAGCGGAAATTCTTTTGCAAATGCTTGCGAAATATATATACATATAAGTGTGCAGGGAAATGGTTTTCAAGTGTGTCTAGCACTTGCCTCTAAAATACTTTTCCTTCTTAGTTGCTTTTCCTGAAACACTTTTTCAGGCCAACTGATTGAAACATAAACAAGTTATTTAATATCTACTGCGTTTTAGAATTCTGATCAAAAATGTATATTTTGTGTATGAAATATTTTTATGGGAATATCTCAATTATCTTTATGTATGAAGCAAAGTATGTAATATGTACAAATATTTATATTTAATTTCATATATAAATATCTATACAATTAAAATTCATATGTATTTATGTATAAATCTATATATAATACTCTACTGTAAATAGAATCTTCTAATTTTTTTTCTAATTATCCTTTACACCTGCCCAAAATGTATATTATCCTTCACAATTCTTACTCAGGCTATGCTCCATTAGAAAGTATATGCCTGCTACTGCTCTTGACTCGCCTAAATTAAGATATATGATACTGTTTTGGGAGTACGACGTAGCTATATGCTTTTGATGACAGAAGAACTATAACTAATATAATACTTCGCCACTGTCTCGGATTATCTTTAGTTTGACTGCTCTAAGACTAATGCTTACCAATTATAAAAAACTAGAAACTGCAGCTTTACGACTACAAGCGACCTCTTTATTTTATTTGTATTCTTATTAAGTGCTTAAGGCTGACAATGGGTTAAAGCTTTACGGAGCAGTGTGCGAGTGTGTTAGTGTGTCATGTCTGTGTGTGTGTGTATTTATTTGCCGGTGTTCTTGTGTGTTGGACTTTTACTCATAAATACAAAATGAAAATAGCTAACATTTATCATTTATCATTTACTTAAATCTACATAAGCTGTGCCTTGCAATGTGAACTGCATTCGTTACTTTCCCGCTCCGCTCTCGCTCCTGCTCTCACGCCTTTCGTCTGGCTCAGTTTAGATGGCATCGCCTTCCTCGTTGATGGACTTGAATATAATGCTATAGACGTGGTCGACCAGCTTAGTCCACGTCTCCTGTTGACTATCGTCCAGATTGCAGACAGCAGTGAGCGTTTCCAGAATTACGCCTCTGAGTTGCTATAGAAACGAGACCCGTATATAAGTATGTATATGATATGATAGATTATGCTGAGCACGCACATTGTAAGATTCCTTAGATATGCGGCGAGGAATGTGGTTGACAGCCACCTTGGTCCAGATCTCATCCAGCTTCTCCTGATCGCCTTCCTGGCCGAGCACCCTAATCGATTCGTCAAACACCCGGATTATGCGCCCAGCATGGGCACGGAAGCGTGCATTGGTCTGAAGAAAGATGGGTTAGCTTTATGTTTTCACGTTTTGCACATTCACATCCGACTTACGGGCAACTCTTCCAGGGGCACATCGCGAAATGGAAACTTTTCCAATGCGGACGGAAAGCGATTGAAGAAAGCTGTCAGTATGGCAGCTCCAGAGTCTGTTGGGGTCGCCACGGGAATCTCCCAGGTCTTCTTGATCATTGCCAACTCATCGCTGTTCATGTTTTCGACTAAAATTCTCGTCTGCTGCTGCTGCTCTTCAAATGGTAGCCTCGATATTGGGTCTTAGGCTGTAAGAGAGCAAATTAAATAAAATCACATTAGTATTAATCTAGATCAGATTATAGGCTCAAATTTACTCTTCTTTACGCTCTCACACACATGCACGCATTCTCACTGTCACCCATGCTCTCTCTCTATCTCTCCCTCTCTCTCTCTCTCTCTCTCTCTCTCTCTCTCTCTTTCTGCTCGTTTCCTTGTTCTCTCGCTCTCATTTTTGTCAGCTGACAATTGAGATTGACAGCTTTACATCGCAATTGCCATTTGCTATTCGCATTTTCTGACTCGCTGTGCAATAAGCGCTCACGAGCACCAACGACAACAATCGAAAATCAAAACAAGAAAGAGCTTTGGCAATACCGAAGATCAAATGCCCTTGCCGATTAACAAATATGTAATCTGATTTTAACTATGAAATATATGATCATTTAAATTGTTTAGTTTGATCAACATATCTCGATATACGAATATAATTTTTGATCATTTTAATGTTAGTAATGCTATCTATATTCTATATCTATTGCTATGGTATATATTTTTATTTATATACATATAATTCCAGACATTCCTCTCCCCACTACTCCGAATACATTTCCGAATAATTTGTATTCCATTCAGATCAACTCTATTAATAATATTCAAATTTCTGCAGATTTATATTGCAAACTCAAATAAATGTTTGACTGATTGCTGATAGTCAAATTCTATATTTCAATTAAAATTGTAACCACTTCATACATGCATATTCTGAAATATGTGCTGCCATATTAGTGACCCACAATCAAAAATATATTATCATAATTATATATTTAAGTACAAATTGTATCTATCAATTCATGACACATTTCATATTCAAGTCAGAGGAGCCCAACAAAGTTTGAAGCATGAATGCTCTAGATACAATAGCTTATATAAATATACGCACACCACAACACGTGCTGAAAGTCAACAAACGAAAGAGCAACAATAGAACATCCATCAAATTAACGTGCATATGTCAATCAACGAAGCATAATAGAGATGATAGCGTGATTTGCATTGTACTTTCATATCAGACAACTACACTAACTATATTCCAAGTAACTTATGAATATGTGAAATGAATTTTAAAAAATATATTTGCAGGCACTGCTTTATTCTGTTTGTAAATGGCTAGGGAATGCAAATAAATGTTTTTACAAATTTAATGTGAATTAAAACTTTTTCAATGAATTCCACAAGAGCTCATCTCAAATTGAGTTTGCTCGGCGCTGTGTGGACTTGGCCTTCCCGCTCCCTTCGCCCATCTTAATAAGCAGCTCTTGTGGACCGCTCTCGTCGACATAAATTGTGGTGGCACTTGATTCGCATTGTGCGGCACACACACTTAATTCAGATTCTGATTCAGCTTCAGGTTCTGAATCGGATTGGCATGCAGAGCTCGGCGATAGGTTTCCATGCGGAAAACGGAAATGTAAACAGCGAGATTAGAAATACAGATGATAATTTACAATTATGAACGGCGATTGTTCAGCAATTATACACAATTATTAGGTAATGTGGAAAGTTTTCAGAAGAAACTCATATAATCCAGAGTTGGCGCCGATTTCCACGAAGTACATAAGTATTTGCATATTTCAAAATATGGCCCGTTTCAATGGAAATGAAAGTGAGAATTGAATTCGCTGGATACATAAATATTTATGCGGAATGGTGGAACAGCCCACAAGTCTATATTTAATGAGAGTTTTGCGGAATATGAAATCGTGCTGCAGGCCGAGCTCAATTGCTTAGCATAAAATATACCATTTCGCTTCCTCTTTTCTTGATTTAATGAGGAAAGCAAAGGCAACAGCAACAGCAGCATAAATAATATAAGGAGAAAAAAAGTCAACTGAAAGTTTATTAAAAATTTACAAGCTGACAGAGCTGCCGCAGGCAACAAACCCACATACAAACACACACACACACACACTCACAGAGTGAGGGAGAGAGACACATCATGTGGAAAAAATAACAAACAGATAGCATAACAGTGAAATGGACTCAAGTGCAGCCGCAGCAGGTGGCCACCATGTTATTGTTGCCCAGAGCGGGCGGAGTGGGCTGCACAGCACTGCGCGCTGTAGTAAGTATGCCAAGTATAAGTGCTGACAGCGGGCATATGCGCACTCAAGATACCCCTTAAATTGTGCCAAGTCCACCAATCTAGCTGAATAGACTATTCTCCATGTGGCACTCCTTCCAACATATTCATATATGTAGGCTCATGTTGGTAATACACATACCGAGAATTGATTAAAAATAAAGTGTCCTATATAACAAAATAATTAAATTAAATTCCTCAAATTTAAGCTTGAAGTATACTATAATTGCAGACAAATTAATAAAATTTTACAATTTATTTAATCAAAAATTCTAACTGCAATGCGAATAAAGATAAAAGACTAAATTTGCTGATAAACCTTCTGAACAATCTGTGGCTACCTTTATTCCACAACAATAGTAAACCGAACTAACCCATCTCAGACATATTCAATTGTCAATTGATCAAGTTGCACAACCCTTGCCAACCCCTTTTGTATACAGGGTATGGCGAATGTGCCAACTCTTGGTAACCTTGTCTCGAAGCCCGCTTCAGGCCACAATCGTTGAAACCATCATCATCATCATCGTCATAATCATCATCGTAATAATCATCATCATCAGCGTTATCATCATCAAAAACAACAATAACAACAACAGTGGCAGCTAGCGATGTACGTACAAACATACATAATATCCTTCATGCCAAAACGTCCTGTGGCTTTTGTGGTTGATACATAACACACCTATACAAACATATATATATGTGTGTGTATTGGTTGTGTGTGCGTGTGCCTGTGTGTGTATGCTGCAGTCAAGAGTAAAAAAGCAGCAACAAATCAAGCGTTGCCCGCTTGCCTTGCGTGTATTTGTGCGCAGTCGGTAAGGACATTGAGCGCTTAATTAAATTAAGAAAGCTTGATGGACAGCTACTAGACAACGAGACGCAAGCGACTGGCAACTGGCAACTGGCAACTGGCAACTGGCAGCAGGCCTGACAGCCCCGGCTCCTGTCGCTGTGCTGACATCTGCTCCTGCTCCTGCCACTGCCCCTGCCACTGCTTCTACCTCTGCTCCTGCCCACACTAAAGCCAACCAATCATTCAGGTGTTGCTAAAGTGCGGCGCTAGCCTTGCCAATGTAAGTGTGTACTTGTATATGTGTATATGCGTGTCTGTCTGCGTGTTTATGTGTGTGTGTGTGTGTGTGTGTGTGTGTGTGTGTGTGTCATTCTATGGTGTGTATGCTGTCACTCAAGTGTCGTCCGACATTCCATTACAATTTCCCAAAAAAAAATAAAATAAATAAAAAGAATCCCCGACTGAGACTATTGCCAAAAGGTTTTAAATTTTCGAAATTTGAGACAGTGTTTGGCATAAAATTTAATTTAAAGGAATCTTGTATTAAAAGTAATTCCTTTGTAAAAATTTTCGAGATCTATTTCATTTGTTAAGGTGTCAGCTTCATCTTCACATAATAATATATAATATGATATACAAATATGATGGATGAACAGAATCAGTCTGAAAATATTATCCAAAAAATATGATAATATATAATATAATAGCAAAATGTATTTATATATACAAATCGAACTAAATTAATAAAAAGAAACGAAAGATATATTTTTCAACGTAAATATCTGTCAATATCTTAAGACTAAATATATTCAATTCGAAAAAAAAACTCAATATAAATCTTTGAAGTTGATAGAAGAGCCAAAGCAACAAGGATACACATTCAAATTCAATTCAAGCCCTTTAGATTGAATGAAATATGCATAAATCGAATAATGTGAACGTTCAAAGGGCCCCAAAGGCATTTCCTGTTTAGTTAAATTGAGTTAAATTTGATTGCTGTAGGCAGCCTAAAGGTTTTTAAATTTACAACTCGTCTGCTTTATTCGTACAGGCAATACACAAACACACACACACACACACGCACACACATATTTAGAGCGAGCACACATACAACTGCAGACATATGCTCATCGGAAACATTAACGATAATGACAAAAAAAAACAACAACAACAACAGCAACAACGAAACGGCACTTGTTCACAAGGACATCTGAGAAATCCATAAATTTAAAGCATGCTTTTGTGCGCCAGAGCGCAAAGAAGAGCGAAAACAACAAAAGCAAGAAAACTAGAAATGGAAACAGAAACCGTAACAGAAACCGAGACAGAAACAGAAACAGACACAGACACAGACACAGACAGAAGATACACAGACAGAGAGACACAGAAACACAGGGGCAACTTTAAATCAGCTGTAGCCTGTTGAGCGAGAGCGCGGCAAATTTAAAGATTCCCCCCGCGCATTAAATGCAACAAACACGATTTGCGCATTTGCACTTGAATTCACAGTTAACTGCATTGCTCTAAATTAACGGCATGATAATCGCACCCAATTCTTTCATAATTCCTCAAGCGGTTGCCCAAGCGCTGTCTGCGGCGTTGCGACTTCACTGATTTTCAAATTGTTTATGTTCTTTTTTTGTGTGTATTTTTCTATTTTTTTTCTTTTTCTCTTGATTTTTATTTGTTGTCAGTTCGTTAAACCTGTCGTCGCAAGTCGCCGATGTCGAGTCCGCTGTGAACCGCACGCTTTGCGTTCGAATCAGACACTGAAACGGAGACTGAAACTGAAACCGAAAGAAACTGAGACCCAAACTGAGCGTTTCGTTTTCAGCCGTTAGCAGAACGCGCTCTCTGCCGGCAAATACAGTCGGATTTGCACGTTTGTTGTTGTGTGCGCGCCAAAAACGTGCAAAACTATCCCGACCCGAGCGGCGAGAGAGCGACAGCGACAGCGCAGCGGCGTCGCTCACTGGGGGGCTGTTTACGATTTGCCGCTCATGATAGCACTTTGATTACGCATGCATGTCATGCGGTCGCCTTAGCCTTGCCTCACTCACTGCACTGGCAGAGCAACACCTGCCCGAATGGTAGCGGTCGGGTATGTTGTATTGTCACCTGCCACCTGTAGCCCAGCTAATGTAAATAGAAACTTTTCTCTGAGAACTCAGACTTCCGCTCACGTACTCTAGCTCTGCGAAGCAAAGAGTAAACTTTAATAAAAATCTATTTCCGCTAAATTTAAATTAATAAACTCTGCATGCAGCTTTCAAATTTGTATTATGCTAATTTCAGTTCGAATTCTCGATTATTGTTGAATATTTATTTTTATTTTTAAATAAATTTATAAGTTGCGGCTGATAATGCAAAACTATAAACTGTATATACATATATGTACAAATAAAATATATTTATTATATAATTTTCGCTTTACTGCTTTGGTTGATAACCGCCTTGCAATGAACTCACAAACTGCTGTTCTACCTGTTATCAGCACAATGAATGACATACATACACATTTATACAAGTTCATATGTATAGAACACAATGCCAATAGCTTATCGATAATAAACACAAACAAATTCAAATGGCTCGGCAAAAAACTAGCTACAAAACACACTAATTCGTTTATAATGCGCTAAAATCACAGAACACTTTAGTCAATATACGTATGTATGTTTATATTCGCATATCGATATATAAGAAATTCCACATGTGTATAATATGCAAGTGTATTTGTTGCCTATCAAATTAAAAGTTCTATGGAAGTATTCCTCAAGCACAACTCACTCTTAGCACCGTCGCAACCGCACTCAACGCTGTTCAAGTTCGAACTAAGCAGCATCGTCAAGTCGGGCGGCTATTTAAGCGATTTTCGAAAACGACTGAATACAACAAATCGAACAGAACAGACGAGAGAATATGAAAATGAATAAAAATAAAAATAAAAATAATTTTGGGCTAAACACTGACAAAGAACAACAAGCAGCACTTCATTAATCGCCGCGGCTCCCATCGACGATTTAGGGAGCATGGGGTTATCGAGCATTTCGTTAGATCAAAATAATATTGCATCACGGACATCACATACTTAGTTAAGGTGTTCACTGTAGCTATTTTGAATATCATCGTAGATGTATGTATGTAAATGATATATATTTCTTATTAGTGCATACAATGGATGTAATGTGTGGGGTCAAGAGGTCAAATTAATTTCCAACTGTATATGAATATCAGCATAGTTTGCTTTTGCTAGCAGTTCCATTTGGTTCAATAGGTTTGTTAAGTAACTGCGTATTTCTTATCTATTTCGCACTTGCAAACTCACATTTACTTGACCTTTGCATAGCTTTTCGACTTTTTCGACTGTCACGAGATGTTTGGGGACTCTTAATGGACACTTTGCATGTTTCTCCAAAGTTTTCACACGACTCCAGGCACACTCTGTTCAGTCCAATGAATTATTTCATTGCTATCCACTCGCTATTTATCTCCACTCAGCTGATGATCTAAGAACGAATTCGAATCATTGTAAATAGTTCCATTGGCTGGGTTGAAAACCGACTCTTATAATTAGCTTATGAAAACCAAACTGTGTAGAATCCCAAATTTGTCGCAATAAAAGTTTTTATTGTTCCACTGGGTTGATTATAATGCCAATTAAACATCTACTTCGCAGTCAAAAACATACGAAAATTTGTCATAAATAAAAATATTTACTAATGAACCACTATTTCTTTCTTTTCTTTCTTCTTCACAAAGCTCTGAAGAGTTCCCATTTCAAGTCTTAATGAGGCCTGCTAGAACCTGTTGAGTCGGAAAGTGTATTTATTATTGTCTATCATTGTTGCTAATTATTTGGCTCAGCTCAATTATTATGCATTATGCATATATTAGAATTGAATATTATTATTCAAACACATTTTATGTAATAATTCTTTATGCGCGTCAAACTATTTCCTTTGCTTTATGGAGCCAATTGTTTATGCCAAAATTGTGGGTCATTAAAAAACAGTCGAGACGCAAATATTAATGAAACTTACCTGGAATGGTCAAATACTATTATATAGATTATTCCTATTGATTCTCCAGATTTTCGTTTTGTTTAAACAATTCAACTCTGGGGATAAACTATTCCAGTCACGTTGCCCATTGCGAAATGCAGGAATTTTATCTATGTTTATATATATCTAGTATCTATAAATGTATGATTATTTGTGTTTGATCTAAACAAGCGTAAACACTTTATTATTTACTTTGTATGAATTCCTATTTGCAATGGTCAGGCCTTTGGCTAGCCGGAATTTCATAGCACATGGTAAACATTCGTGAAAATGAGCTTAAATAATAACTCGATATGGCTGAAATATGCGACTTTAACGACCACTTGTACAGCCAACTTACCACATGTTATTTGTTGTTAATAAATTACCTTTTATTGAAAAAAAAAGTAATAATTAAATATTCAACAGAAAAGGAAAAATAAGGCGCAGAAACAGAAGCCGAACGTGAATGAAATGAAAACAAAACACAAAACTGACAGATGGAAGCTCCCCAGAGAGAGACGATAGAGAGTGAGAGAGAGAGAGAGAGGGAAAGACACGCACACACATGCACTAAAGAGACAACGAGAGCTGGATACCAAGAGAGTGAGAGGTGAGAGAGCGAAATAATGTGAGTTTGGATATGGAAGTCTGTTTCGTAATCACGCTTCAGTCATATTCAGCGCGAGAGCGAGATCGTTGTGGTGACGGAGCGTAACGGGTTCTCTCAGTGAACATCTCTGACAGTTGATGCTGGCTCGTTGGGATAGCAAGATAAAAGCGTATCTGTGAAGAGCGCTTCCAAACAGAAAAGAAAATAGCAAAAATAAAACTGGAAACAAAACAAATGTTACAATGGACACGCAACAACAACAGCAACAGAGCCAAACGAGCAACAACAACATTAACTGCGACAGTGAGAAATGTCAGCAAATTAAAAGATTCGTGATCATCGGACTGCTGATCACCATTGGCATACTGAGCTGGCATTTCTATGGTGCGTAATATATACACACATTTATTGCGACCCATAAACATTTATGTATATTTACAGAGTATTTCCACAGCAAGCCGCTGCCCACGGCACCAGATGATGTGCTGGCCTTGTCGCAGACGCTATTTAAAGAAGAAGCTGCGGAAAACCCATATCTCTACAAGGTGAATCTGCAGGGCAAGACCAAGTCCGGCGCACATGACGATCGAGCCCCAGGACCGTGAGTATGAGAGCTGTAACAGTTCATGATTCTGTTAAGCTGGTCTATGTTAGGTTATTGCATTATGTTAATTCATTTCAGGCTCTTTGAGCTGCACAATGATCTACTGGTCAGAGATAGCAATTCCACAACGGCTCTGCTGCAGCGACTTTTCAACAACTATGAGCTGGACGTCGCCGTGCCGGACGTAGTCACGGCAGAGCATGAGCAAGAGCAGCTGGACTTTCTGCGTGCCGTAATGAACACACGCGTCATGAAACTCTCAATGCGTTTCTTAGCCAAGAAAGGTAAGCTCCCAAAATTGCTCACCCAATTGGTATAAAAGCATTCCGAAATTGTTGCAAAGCCAGCTGTTATTCATGGGAGTAGTCAGATTGGATCGTGAATCAGTGTGGCTTTTGTTGTAAGCTTAAAGTAGGGCTGGGCATATACTTTCATATTCTCGATTAGCAACAGAGAAGTACAGTGCTTTAAGTACTTTTGAGCAGCCACAGCTTCCTAAACATTTGATATGTAGAGAGATAAGATAGTAGAGCTACAATAAAATTTGTTTATTTCATGAATATGTATATATAATGCATATATATATAAATGTATAAAATGTATATGAATTTTATTTTATTTATTTATTTACGTATTTTACTTGCTATAAATAGATTTACGTACAAGATTCACGCGAATTCGCCCTCCCCGATTGTTTACTCAAAGTTTAGTTAGTTAGTTTCACTACCTGCAACCGTAGCGAAAAATTAAATTTCCCTCGAAGGTCGTGAGTTCCATCCATTCGACACAAACTCAAATATGCACACTAAGAGAAATTGATATTAAAAAAAAATAATATACATTCGGTTTCTGTTCATCGAATATTTTATAAAACAGAGAAACACACACCAATATATTTTTAATAGTCAATAATACTTACTGATTAAACATAATTTTTTAAATGAATATTTAAAATAATTCATTATAAACATATAATTATAATAATAATTGAAATAATAATAGTAATTTATTTTTTTAATCAAATTTTTCCTCACTTTAATAATATTAAAGATAAGAAATATCACACGTATATTTATTTATTTACTGTACATAATATACCCATATTTAACATCATTATTAACAACATATTATCATAATTTCCATTTCTATTTAAAGGCCTCGTTGGCAGTGACTACGATGAACAGCTTAAACTCCTCCATGAACTCTGGTTCACCCCGTATTCCCGGGGCAAAGGCATTTTGGGTAGCTCCAGCTTCGAGCATGTCTTCATGGCGGAGCTTCGGGATCAGAATGTGCTCGGCATGCACAACTGGCTGTACTTTGCCGAGCAGGAGCAGCAGGGTCACTTGGACTACAAGGGCTGGTTGGATCGCGAGGAGACGGGAAGAGTGCGTTCAACAATTTCATTCTATTTGATCTTAGTTACATTCATTTATAAAATCCCTTTTATTTCTAGCCCAATCAATTTGCATTGGCCTTCCGCATGAGCTTCTTTGGCATCAATAAGTCGTACAATAGCTTCTTGGTCGGCACTTCGCCAGAGCTGGAGCTGAGTCTATATACAGTGTGCTTCCTAGCAACGCCCAAGAATGAGCTTTGCGAGATCCAGCTGGACAAGGCCAAGCTGTCCATCGTATCACATGTCTGGGAGTGGAAAGGCAAGAAACTAATAGCGTCTGCCTATGTGCAATTTGACTAAAAGCCACAATACGAGTCTCAATCAACAAGAATTAAAAACATGCCTATATATATAAATGCATTATATATATGTATATATTTATGTATACATATATAAATAATTTAGCAGAATTTTAGATTCGTTAGCTGGATATAATTATGGTAAATATGTTCTTAGATATTCCGAAAATTTCTAAATCTCCATTTGTTCTTTCCTTATAATCGAAGAACTTGCTTTGATTAGGAAGAGTATTTTCATAATCTGTGTACAGAAAATGGACCCAAATTATTATCCAATTTTCAACCTTTCTTTAGACATATTTCCTATCCAGCATTCAGAAAACGCACTTGAGACAGGATATACATTTTTCAGTCAAAATTATTTTTGTAAGACAATCCATGCCCATAGTTCAAGTAAAATCCGTTGAGTTATGAACTTCAGTGTGGCTAAAGTATGTGTAGAGTGTTTCAACAACATATGTAGCAAATTGTAAAAGAGGGGTTATTTTTTAAAGGACGATTCTATGTATATGTTTAAAGTATTCAATTTTCAATAACATTTCGTAAGTAACATTATCTATTCAGTATTCCGCCCAAGTATTCGAAACAGGATAGAAAACTATTTCCCATGTTCAAGTAGTAGTTCAAGTGAAACCCCCTCAGTTTGCGAACTTTAAGTTTGAGCTCAGAATATAATTGCTGATGCCCTAAGTGCGTGTCAACGCCAATTTCCTGGGCCTGTCACTCAGTCCCTAAGGCCGGCATTTGAGTTCCTTTGACAGGTTTGCATGATATTAGCGCCCTCGCAATTCTATCATTCAGTTGTTTATTATTAAATTCAACATTTACTTGCATGGAGAACTATCTAATGACCTTCAACAGCGCACTTGACATTGAGAGTTATAGGAGAGCTATAAGTCCTATCATCATTATTTATTAAGAACTATTGAGAGCCCTCAAATTGTCACAAAGTTTAAATTAAGTGAAATATTAATTCGAACCTAAATTTTTTGTATTATCCAATTTCTGTTTGTCAAAATGTTTATGTTCGTATTTAACTAAGCTGAATCTCAGGTTTTGTTGCTTAAAATGAAATAAAACTCACGTTCATCAAGTTTATGGAGTTAAATTTATATTGCATTTAGAAATTGTTGTAATTACAAAATGTTAATATCAAATATGGATTATTTGTTAAAGCCCATCCGAAACATATGAGTGGAATATTATTGGAAGTCTCCCTAGCGGAGTGAACTGGAAAACTTGTGCTTACAACTGCTGCGATGCACGATAGTCACGATCATGGTCACGCTCAATGATCACCGTCTCGTTGGCGATGTCCGGTGGATGGCGCTCCAGCTGCTCCTCCACCTCAATAGTTATGGTCTCATTGACGTCCTGGACGCGCTGCACCATAGCCGGTGCACTCGCCCGGCGCACTGTGACAATGGTGGTGTGAGCCGGCGAGAGGCTGGCATCGGAGTCGACGAGCGGCAGGATATATGTTTCACTCAGGTCGGCACAGGAGTCGTCGTCGTCGTCGAGGTTGGAGGCGTCGCTGGAGCGCATCAGACTGGGACTGCTAATGCCGAAGTCCAACAGCAGCGGATCGATTGGCGTGAGGTCGGTCGCCTCGGGACTCCAGCTACTTCTTGCCGGCGGCTGGCGCGGCAGACTGTTGTGGCAGAGCGGATTTGCTGCTGCTGCCGCTGCCGAGGACTCCAGCTGCAGCTGCTGGCCCCACAGTTCCGCTGCCCGGGCGCGATTGTTGTCGGCTCGCAGCTGGGGCGACAGCAGCTGGTGCTGTTGCTGCTGTTGCTGGAGGGGATGCGATTGTCGGCGTCGCCGTCGACGGTGGCGATCGGGCGTAGTCCGCCGCAGCGCCGGCTCCTGTCGCTGACTGATACTGCGGCTGGTTGGCTGCGGCTGCGTCTGGCGAGGCGTCATACTGATAGCCAGACTGGCCATAGTCAGCGGCGCTGTAGTCGTAGCCAGCGCTGCCATCGTAGCCATACTGCTGCGAGTCGTATGGCTGCTGGGAGTAGCCGCTGGTATCGTACCCGCTGGCATCGTACTGCTGCTGATCGTAGGCGCTGTAGTCAGTGTTGTAGGCGGCCAGGTTGGCGCTGCCGGCATTGCTGACGTTCGCATCCCCAAGCTGTGACTGTGACTGTGGCTGTTGTTGTTGTTGCTGTTGCTGTTGCTGTTGCTGCTGCTGTGATTGCTGTTGCTCCGGCTCGCCGTTGCTGTAGCGTCGATTGAGCTGTGCTTGCTGCTCCAGTTGCTCGCGTTCTCTTTCCCGCTTTTCGCGCTGCTCTCGCAATTGTTGCAGCTCCCGATCTCGTTCCCGCTGCCGTTCGCGTTGCTGCTCAAACTCCTGCTGTTGCTGTTGTTGCTGTTGCTGTTGCTGCTGTTGCTGTTGCTGCTTTTCGCCCATGCCAAGGTTGTCCTTGAGATTTTCGTCATCGTTATCGTTGAGTCCATAACTGGCGCTGCCGTTGCTGATGCTGCTCTTGCGCGCTGCTGCAGATGCGCCAGCAGCTGTGTTGCTGTTGCCGTTGGCGTTGGCGTTGCTGTTGCCGTTGCCGTTGGCGCTGCTGTTGTCGGCAACTGTTGCTGCTCCAGCGGCATCGTAGCTGTAGGAGTTGCTCGGCTTGCTGTAGTCGTCGTCAGCGTTGTTGTGCAGTTGTGAGGTGCTTTGTATGGGTTCAATTGTAGTGTCATATGTGGACGGCTGGTAGTCGTATGCGGCTATAGTTACAGAAATTTTGATTAGTGTTGCTGGCCAATTGAATGCAAGGATCTAGTGTAGTATGATCTATGAATGTATGTGTGTGTGTGTGTGTGTGATTAGTTATGAAACTGTTGCTGCATGCCGCATCCTCTCTGGGCCAGTCCATGGCAAAGGCAATTAGTTAGTGTATGATCGAGGCTTGTGTGTTGTTTGTCTTTTTTCGTTTGTAATGGGATCTTTTAAGATTTACCTTTGCCGGCGCCTAAGCTAGTATAATCATGCGGTGTGGTATCTAATTTACTCATATGCTCTTCATTGCTCAACATGCGATTAGACAAATATTCTAGATTCGATTGTAAAGCAGATATTTCCTCTCTAAGGACAGCAGAGAGAGAGACAGACAAGAAGAGGTAGACAGAGAAAGATATAGAGAGAGAGAGGAGGGGAGACAGAGAAAGGGAAAGAGAAAGAGAAAGAGAAAATTTGTTAGTCAAATACAAATTCTTTATTGTCAATTACCTGGGATATGTCAATTTGGTGCATTTTCGATAAACAACTGCGTTCATCATTGGGTGTTGACTCTTCGGAGCTAAGCTCGTTAGCACTATTGCCATTGTGAACTAATTGTGACTTGTATTTACACCAGATTTGCCGTAGACGTGCCATTAGCTGTTCGTTTGTAGCACGTAGTTGTTGCTTGTCTTGGCTGAGAAGATTGAGACGAAATATTTGCAAATTGATATTAAAATGTGCGAAAAGCAAATCTGATGCAAAAATAAAATACAATCAAATAAAAATAGAAATAGAAATAAATAAATATAACACTTTCGTTATATAACATAATTCTTTTTGATTATGCATCGAGTCTTTCAAATAGCCTAATATATCAGCTGAAAGAAAAATAATTATTTTTATTTATCGTTATTATTATTAAATGCTGCTCTTAAGGCTTCTGTTGACTAGAACTTAAGGCAGACAAAAATAAGAGCTATGAAGGCGTATTTGAAAGGTAAGAAAGAATAAAATATGGTATGCATAATGTAATTTGTTTATCTAAGAATAATATACTAGTTTATTTTGTAATGGGTTGACTAATCCTTTTATGATGTTTTCAAATTTTTAATTTCAACAGGAAATGCAACTATATGCAATATGATTCTGTTTGTGACCTAATTTTGTTGTTCATTAGATTTACCCCAAATATTAACCAAACTCAGTATTTAAATGATTAAAAATAGCTGAGTATTTAAATTGAATTTTAATTACAATTTCTGAGCTGTAATTTTAATTTTATTCAAAAAATTTATATCAAAAAATTTAAAAAAAAAAAAAAAAAAAAAAAAAAAAAAAAAAAAAAAAAAAAAAAAACATTATAATATAATATGTTCAATGGTTACCAAGTGTTGGTCTCTGGAAACAAATATATTTGATCTAAGTAACAAAATAACAAAAACAAGCAATAATAAAAATAAACTTTTTCATATTTTTTTAAGGAATTCCTTAATGAAATCAAATATTTAGAGTGCTCAAAGCAAATACATTACGTTTTAATTAAAAGTAGTTTTCAATAGGACAAACAAAACAAAGAATAACAAATTTCTTCTAGAATTAATAAATTTCTTGTATAAGAAAAAATTGGAAATCAAAGAAAACCTAATCCATTCCCTCTATAAGAAAAGTAATAGACTTCTTTTGCGTATAAAATTGTTTATAAATCAAAGAAACCCTATGGTGGCTAAACTGTAATAGCAGATTGTATCTTAAATAAATGTTATAAAGGGGTAACATCTTATATAAGAGGCAAAACTGACAATGTCTCAGATATTAAACTAATTAAAAATAATTGTAAAATTAATGATAATAATGGCATAACGAATATAGAATACGCTAAAGAAATGGTTTGATTATACTTCTATGTCTCTATGCAAATTGAAAGCTAGTTGGTGATGTGTTCTCAGAATTAAAAGGTATTGGTATGGTTTTTCTTTTTTTGTTGGGTATATTAACATTATCAAAGTTTGGTGGCCTGCTCCTGGTCGTCGTCCTCGACGTCATCATCGATGACATCCTCGAATTGGGCTAGTTGTTCATCGATTTTGGCCAACTCTGGCGAGGATTCCTTGACGAAAGTCTCGTTTAGGGCTTGGGCCACTTCGTCCAGCTCTTGGACAAATGTTTCATTGAGTGTATTCACTTTTGGCTGTGACTGTTTCGACTGTTTCGCCTGCTTGGGCACCAGGCGCACGTTGACATCAACTTTGACGGGTGGGCGTGGCTTCTTGTGGCAGCCATCGCGCTGCAACAGTTGCTCAAAATAAAGCTTCGGCTTAATGCTGGCGTTGAGCGCATTGCTGTTGCGGCCTTTGCATACTGCTGATGTTTTTGTTGTTGCTGCTGGTGTTGCAGTTGCTGTTGCAGTTGCTGTTGTCTCAGTGTCCACCGTCAAATGCGAGCTTTGACATGGGGCCTGACAGCTATTGGCACTGCTGATGGTCTGATTCAAAACCAGATGCTGTTGCAGCCAAGGCAACAGCTCCGTTTTGCATGGATGACAGCAGCTGGCCGACTGCTGGGCTGCTGCAGGTGTGCTTGTTGCTGAAGTGGCTGATGTTGCTGGTGCTGTGCAATATTGTTGCTGTGGCTGATGTGGTTGGTGGTGTGTGTCTAGGGTGAATTCATGAGCGTGACAATGCATGCTCTTGCTGTGTGTGGTTTGTGTACGCGCTGTAGCTCCACGATTGCGACTGTTGTTGTTGGCATTGCTGCTGCTGTTGCTGTTGCTGTTGCTGCAACATGTAGCGCTAATATCGTTGCTGTTGCGCCTGCGCATTGTTGACTTTGTATAAACATGTTCATGCTCGTGCTTGTGTCGCATAAAACTGGGGCAAAAACACTTTGGCTTGGCACCCATTGTTGTTGTTGCTGCTGCTGTTGTTGTTGTCTCTGCTTTACTGCTTCTGTTGCTGTTGTGCATTCTGCTGTGCGCATTGTAGCTGGTGAATTTTGGTAACGGCGGCATCTTGGCCAGCTCGTTGGCCAAGCGCTTATTGCTTTCGATTATGTTCCTTAGTATCTCGTCACCATTGTCAGCAGCAGCAACATGCGCGTCCATGGGCTTCGTTTCATCTACAGTTTCCACATCAGGCGGCAAAGTGAACACGCTTTCGCCTGCGCTTGTTGTTGCTATTGTTGTTGTTGTTGTTGTAGTTGGCATCGAATGTGCGTTTATTGCAGTTGTTGTTGCTGTTGTTGTGGTGGCTACTGTTGCTGTTGCTACTGCTGCAGTTGTTGTTGTTGTTGTTGGCATCGCATAATCTAAATTTAACAAATGTCAGAGCGACGCAGGCAGGCAGCACAAAAGAGGTTTGAAGAAGTTAATCCAGTGTCAAGCTCTGGTAGATGTTGTTGTTGTTGTTGTTGTTTTTGTTGTGTTGTGGTTAACGAATCTCAAAACAAAATTAATTGCACTAGGTGTGGCAAAATGAATATTTTTTTTACGTTTTTTTGTTTTGCTCGGGGCTGGCCATGAATTTCATATTGCGCTGTGTTCAATTTTATAGAGTTAAGATCGATAATACATAGGTGATAATACTACGGTTGATGAGATCTGTAAAATTGGCATTGCTCATTGCTTAAGTCTAAGGCGAACTGTACGATTCGGTTTACAACTACTAACGGGTATTTAATATAGGTGGATTGCACATAGATATTGCAGTCAGTGAGTGCCTGAGAATTGCCGTCAAAATAGTTAGCTTTAAAATGCATTTGATAATTACTTGTGCTTATAGGTCGTATCCTCTAATTTGCCGGTTAAGGTCTTACACTCGGCCGTCAATTTATCCATGAGTTGCTTCTGAGACGTTATCATTGCTTCGAGCTCATTTACCGTTTCCGCTACAAAGAGTAGACAGACAGACAGATTGTTGTGGGTTATTAGTGAATGAAGTGCGAGTATATTGAGTATCATTATGGGTAAGGCAAACTCATGGATAAACTATTGACGTTAAATACATATAGTATATCTGTATAGATATAGACTTTTGGATAGGTTTGATCGGTAATTCGAATTAAAGACAAGTAGCCTGGGAATGTTCACCGCACACAATATGAAAATCAATAGCTCAACCAGAGTTTAGAGAATGTGTTCAATTAGCAAGAGACGGTGCTTCAGAAAGGTTTAATCAATTGAGAAATTATCTAATTGTGTGGAGAGATCGACTTAACTAGATATAAGAAACGTGTGCACATACCATGCTTTTCCTGCATCTCAGAGATGCGCTTGTCCAAATCCTTTTTGGTTGGACGTATTTCGTTCTTTAGCTCCCCGTACGCCAGCTGCAAAAAATCATTTTCAATTTCGAGCGATCATTGTTGGATAAGACTGTCAATTACCTCCTTCTCCAAGTTGGCAATCTCATCGTTGAGGCGCAGCACCTCGCGCTTCGAGTGCAACAGATCGGCGTCGCCACGATCTAGGCGCTGGCGCAGCGAGTTGATCTCCGCCGTGAGACGGGCCGCCTCCGTCTTGGACTCCCGGGCCGCACGATCCAGCTGCAGGCGCAGCGAGGTAATCTCCTGCTCCAGCGACTGCTTCTCCGCATTGGCCTGGGCCATGTCGGCCAGGAAAGTTGTGCGATTGGCGCGCAGCTCCATCTTGAGCTCCTCGATCTGGGAATTGCGACTGGCCACATCGCGCTTGAGATCGGACTCGTAGCGCTTCTGGCGCTCCAGCTCCAGCTGCAGCTTGGCCACCTGCTCCCACTGACTGCTCAGATCGCCGCCCAGCTGATCCACCTGGCTGTTGTAGCGCCGCTCCGCACTGGCCCGCTCATCAGCCAAGCGGCGCGCCATCTCATGCTGCAGCTCCCGCACGCGCTCGTGCTGCCTGTCCAGCTCATCTCGCAGGTGGCGCACCTCTAGCTGGAGTCGAGAAATGGTATCATAGGATATATCATAGCCCTTCACTCACCTCTGCCTGGGATCGCTCCATTTGCACTAGATCCGTGATGTAGCGCTTGGAGCTGGCATTGTTGTTCTGCTGCTGCGACTTGGCCTCGTCCAGCATGCGTTGCAGCTGGCGCACCGACTCCTCCAGGGCGGTCTTGTCCTGTTGCAGCAGCTCCAGCTGCTTGCGATGCGTCTCGCAGTTGACGCTGCCCAACGTGGCGACAGCGCTGAGCGGATCCGTGTGGGCCAACTTGCGCTTGAGCTCCTCGTTCTCGGTCTTCACGCGCTTCAAATCGATGTTGGCCTGCATCAGCTCTGCCTCCAGCTCGCTGATGCGTGCCTCGTAGACAATGTTGGGCGCACTGGCGTAGCGCGGCGACTGCGGCGACTTCAAGTTGCTCTTGCGCGGCGTGGTTGGAGTCTTGCGGCCCGCGTAGAGCAAGTGCTCATCGCTGTCCGAGGAGGGACTCGTGGTGGTCTGCGGCAGTTGAGCCGAGGGCTTGGAGGTGCCACCGCCAAGCGCTGCCAGCTCAGTGCGCGCATTCTCCGTCAGATGCTCGTTCTCGTTGATGACATCCTTGACCTTGCCCAGCAAATTGGTCAGCTCGTTGCGACAGTACTTGGACTCCTTTTCGAGCTGCTCAATGTAATCCTCCTGCTTCTCAATGAAGTTGAATATCTCGACCGGGGCCTGAACGCTGTCCGTGGGCAGCGGCGGCGCAGTCATGGTGCTCGGATAGAGAGCTGGAGGCGTGGCTAGGTTCTCCTTGGACGCCGAGAGGTAGCCCGACGTATAGCTCTTCTTCGGACGATAGGTGCTGATGCGTGACTTCTGGCTGGGCGACAAGTACTTGGAAATGTCAGAGAAGACGGGTCGTTCGATGACCTGAACCCAGCATCGAGGCATGAACAAATCGGGGTAATAATGGAGATAATTTATATTAGACCTACCGACAAATTGTCCGAGAAATTATCGCCTGAGTCCTCGTTGAAGTTGCGCAAATAGGCCGAGGAGCTGCCCAACCCTTTGGGCGTGGCCGCATAGGAGTTGTCGGCCAGCATTACCTTCAGGCGGCCCACAGCCTCGTTATACGCATAGTTTGTGTAGTCCATGGTCTTGCTCTTCTTGCTAATGCCCTTCGAGGACTTCATCGAGAAGTTTCTAAAGTTGCGAACAGAAGAAAAACAACACTTTTGTACTCTACATCTATGAGAAATCACATCCTAAACAGCTCTTTGAAAACAGTTTGAAAAAATGTATCCCTAGGAGAGCGCATGGTGCGCGAGCTGGACAAGAACTGAGGCTGGCCCCGTGCATTGGGGGTGACAAATGCAGTGCTTGTGCCATGGACTGTCGCTTGGTTGCCGGGACAACAAGTTAGCCAAAATACAAATGTGTTTTGTCCTGTTCTAACCCTCTGTACGCACACACAAAGATATTTTTGACCATGTGTGCACCCGACACGGTTCAGTGGACCCGCCTTGTTTTCCCTCTTTTCTCTATACTGGGTATTTCACGTTCGATTCATTTTCATAAGTTGATCAGTATGAATATGAAAATTAGTGAGTATATATAGTAGAGAGTATATGTATTGTATTCATAATATGATTTCATATCTTTGCTATTAGAACTATAAAGCTAATAATTCATTTCGCTTATATGAAATATTATCTATATATATTTTATATCTGCAAAGGTATATAATATTCAATACGTTTAAGGTGCTCGATATGTTCAATATAGAACATAACGGGGGTTGGTAAATCTACTCTGTGACATGATAATAGTTATGTAAATATTTCCTTTGCATTCACATTCATATTTGAACAATTTAATATTTACCTATCTAAGGAATTTCTTCATTTACCAGTTTACAAGTCAAGCCAACCATTATTATTTAAAACGTTAAGTTGTATTAAAAAAAAAATTTTTTTATTTTTTTGTTTTTGAGAAAGTTTAGTCTAAATTAAACATGCCTAAAAATCTACTAATAAATAAAAATTCTCAAAAAAAAAACATAAAATCTATCTTAGCTTGAGTATTTGAACAGCAACAATGTATATTTTTTGCATTAAACTCATTTAAAAAAAAAAAAAAAAAAAAAAAAAAAAAAAAAAAAAAAAAAAAAAAAAAA